CCCGGGGTGTGCCAGGTCAGCACGAGGGATCCAGCGTGGCCGGAGCTGCTTTGATTCGAAGGTGTTTGGAAAACTGACCCTCGTGAGACGCTTGAATCGGGAATCTAATTAAAGCCCTTCACCGCGTCGCCTAGATCGGGATGCGTGGGTTCGCCTGTGCCATGCTGGTTGTGCCAAGGGATGGCGGTGAGGGCAGGGCGGCAGCGCTACTTCACGGCGTAGCCCATGATGTGCGGCCGGATGGGCGTCCAGGGCAGCGCGATGCTGACGTGTTGCAACCTCAGCTCCGAGAAACCGGCCCGTTCGAGGTTCTTCCATAGCTCTCTCGTGAGGCAGCATCCGTCAAAGACCAGTTTCCAAGTCGGATAGCAGACCTGCTGCCAAAAGTACTTCCAGCTGGAATGATCGGCAGCCACGTGCTCCAGGAAATAGAAAGCACCTCCCTGGGGGAGACAAAGAGCAGCAGCAAGCGCTGGGGTTGCATCAAACTTCTCCCTCCATCCCACCTCCTCTTGGATACAGACCAGTGCGCGTGGTGCGTCCATGTTCACCGGTATTCTCCCTGCCCGCTTTTTGCTTTTGTGGTGTCGGTTGGAATTAATGTAAGCAGGAAAGTTGCAGAGATGCAAAAAGCATGAAGGATGGACTTACTTGATCCTTCTTTTATTATAGCAATAGTTTGTTGTCTTTTTGTTTCAATTACAGTTGCTAGCGTGTCATTTTTTTCGAAGAAAACTAGGAGAAATGTATAAATCCTACTCAAATTCGTCAGTGCGTGACGACCCAGAGGATTGTCTTGAAAACACCATTTTAAAGGCTGAAAGTCTGTTGCAAAAATTCCCTGACAAAACAGCTTTTTGTAATCTTTAGCTTGATTAGTATATTACAGGGCAGGAAGGCATTTAATTAGAGTTTTAGTCATACAGGTAGATCAGCCCCACTTGGAAGAGGCTAAAGCACTTTATTGGAAATGCAGACGTTCAGTCTGGATCAGAGAGCTTCCCACCAAAGAAAATCTGGTGTGTGTGGGGAGGGACAACACCACAGGAACCAGTTCTGCTTTCGGTGATATACCGTAATTACTTCCCAAATTAGTGGCAGTTCTAGTTAGCAGACTGTCACTTTTTGGGTTTTACTTTTAAGAATAGGACAGTTGCTACTGTTTTGCACCGTGTAGCAGGGCAGAGGGAAGTAAACTGGGTCTGGTTTGTAAGATTAAACCCAATTTTTTTACCTTTTTTTTTTTTTTCTTTTGGTGCAGTGGCTCTCGAATAGCTGACAAAGAATGATAAAGATAACAACAAAACTTTTTTATTCAGATACTCACAGGTCTGAGCACTCGCAGTGCTTCCTTCAGGATACCGTTGACGTTGTGCGCAGAGCAGAGGACCAGGGTGCAGACGACGGCGTCCACAGAACCACTGGGCACCTGGTGCAGGTCTTCCCCTGCAGCTACTAGGAAACGCTCGTAGTGGATGTGCTGATTTTTCTTGATGCTTCTCGAAAGGGCTTGCTGGAAGTTGGGGTTTATGTCAGTGCAGGTGACTTTGCAGCCTGGTGGGTAGAACTGGAAGTTAACACCGCACCCCGTCCCGATCTCCAGCAGCTTCAGCTCTCCTGAGGGGCTCTTGAAGTCAGGTAGATTATGAAATAGCTCCTGCTTGTGCTTCTTTGCTTTCCTTTCGTGAATTGTAAAAAGCTTCTCTAAGAAGAAAGGAAAAAATACCTTCTTACAGAAAGGCTGCCATATGCCCAGGAACGATAGTAAGTAGATGGGCATGGCGAGCAGCACGAGGCAGGTGCGGAGGAAGAGGACGCTGGCCTCTGTCATTTCCAGCGTGGGGCAGAGGATCCGAACCGAGCAAAACTAGTTCTTCTGTGTGTTAGAGGCCTTGAAATTCAGACAGAGCCGCACGCAGGTACTTGCCGTGTTCGTCTTGGAGTGTATTCAGCTCCTTGGATCGCTCTAGACTTTTCTCTAAAGCTGATTTTAAAGTCTGGTCCCAGGCGAAGAAGGGAGAAGCAGGACCGCATTCCGAACAGTCACCATAGCGTCCCAGCTCTGGCAGAGGAGGAGCTGCCAGCTTGTTATGTAAGCTGGGTGAACTGGGCAGTACAACTTTGTAACCGCTGGCAAAACGTCAGAAAATGCCCTGATTTGGTGTTCAGTGGTTACAAGTTCTCTCTTAAAGCAACCGCATGTTGTCTTTAGTGAGCTGAAGGAAATCTCTCTGAGCTCTGGATTTGCTGTGGGCGTTTCCTTAACATTTCAGTTAAAACACATTTGTGTAAGAGTTAATTTACCACCTCGTTGTAAGCAGCTGGATGAGCCAGTCAGCTGCTTGCTCTGTGCTCTCTGCAACAGCAGTTTTCAGTCTTGCCACTTTGTGGACTCCTAAAATACTTGGTATGCACACACGGGCTCCTTTGCAGTGAATGAACTTGCTCTTCTTGGTTCTCTTTCAGAGCTTTGATGGGAATCATGGAACAGGGATAAAACAATTTATTAATTCAGTAATCGCTGCACGCAGTGCATGGTTTGGTTTTATTCACTTCATAAGCTCCATTCTCTGCTAAATGCATTCTGTAAAACTTCAACTTTGTGGTCAGCAGTGCTTTGTCAAAGAACTTGGTGTAAATTAGCCACGAGCGTTTAATTGCTCTGCTCCAGGTGAGCCTAGTGGAGGGGAGGGAGGACTTAAGGTCCCCAGTAAAGGCAGGTCTGTTGTGAATCGCACTGGAGAATTTATTTTTCCTGTTGAGTGATAAGTAGTCCCGTTGTCCGATGAGTTACCTCCCCCCTCTAGTGGTAATAAAGCAAATATCAAACCCAGCATCGTTATCAGACTGCTTTATTAACGAGCTCCGCTGTCGTACCTTCGTACCTCCACCTTGTGGCAGCTACATTAGAGAAACAGGTTGGAATGGTGGGAATGACTTTCTGTGTAGACCAGTTGGATGTGTATGGAGCACAAAACAGAGATGTTAATGCGTTATTTTGTTAGAAATGTAATCTGTACCAGCTTTTAATTCCTTGCCGCAGGAAATCATAGAAAAGGTTAAGTTAAAGGACAAGTTTAATTTAAACTCTTCCCCAGAACTGGAGGAAAAAAGTATTGGAAGAGC